CCACACAGCACGGCCGTATCCTCGCCTTCCGTAAATCCCCACCTTCGCGGAGCGACTTTCCTCGTGGGTGAAGTGCCTCTTTCAGCCCGTTCGTCCCCAGCAACGTCGATGAAGACTGCCTCACGAGTCTAAGGACACATTCTCCCCGACCACGAGAATGAACCTGTTGAATTGAACGGGAATTGTCGACACCGATAGCCCTAACTCGGGAGCACTGCTGAGGCGAAGGAAAATCGGAGAACTCCCGCTCAAAACTTGTATCACTAATTAGATTTGCGAGAGAGCTATTCGTTGAGCGATGCGAACTCCTTGAGCGATGCAGAGCGAGATTTTTGCTAGAAATCCAATCGAGAGAACAGATCATCATCCACACCGAGGCCGAACGCTAATTCTAACAGAGCCTCGAACGAATGGGAAGAATTATTCCGATTGCGTTCTTTGCTCCGGAACCCTTTTCGAGCCAGAGTCTCCCGAAACTTCTGTTCCTATTTAAGTACTGACGGACCGCTCGTCATCGGATGACTCGGAAAAGCGTGATGGTGATTGAAGTGAGAAATTCCGAAAAAAAGTATCCGACTCGTTCTTGGTCTGGGCGAGGGAAACATCTACCAGAGGCTAGACAAAGGGGAGAGATCGTAACAAGTCTGTTCCTTCGGCGAATTCGTTCGCGACGGTTGTGTTTTTCTCTGGCTCTCCCGCAAGTCGACAAGCCTAATAGAAGGGTTCGTGTTCGTTATCTACTATGTTGTGTTCTCGGGCAAACAATCGCAGAATCGCAAGAGGAACCTTCCGCCGGAGGCTGAGGGGAGAAGATTCTTGTAGTTGTGGTCGACGGCCGCGGTTGCTATCTCCGCGCCGAGGGCCAAACGAGTACTACAATGGAGTCCAAATGGTTGCTGCGTGTAGGCCGATGGTAGGTTCCGACGTGCTATCGCAAGATCTGTTCCTGTCGTCTTTTTTTTCTCGCTGGTCTACTCTTAAAGAAGAATAACAAACCAAGTCACGCTCCGAGTAATTCACGACAACCACCTCCAACTCTATCGAGCATATTTGATACGATTGCCAGGGAACTCGAGTCGGAATCGGCTGACTGGGTCTCGGGAACAAAGAGGCGGAAACGTTTCTACGAAAAGGAGCAATCTCCTGCGGTCGGACATGTTAGCTGATAGAGCAGTCTGAGAGGGGGCCACAGCGGGCGAAAATCCCAGTAATCAGGAGAGATTATCTGTTTCATATTCATAAGAAACTAAGCCTCTCAAGAAACCTCGTTCCCGACTGCTCTGGAGATCCAGCCGTGTCAGACAAACGGCCGAGCACAATCTCCGTTTCTCCTCTCGCGGATGATTCATCCGCTCGCGGCCCGTGATGAGCGTGGCCGAGCCCGGACACAGCACCGGGGCTCGTTTCCGCGCAGGGTTTCTGAAGACTCACGCTATTCGGGACATCGGGACGAGCGTGTACCGCGAAAAAAACGCGTGGAGCTAGACTTGTTGACGCGTTGGCCGCCGTAATTGTATCGAAAGAGTGAAGCAGAAGGATGGGCGGGCGGTCGGTCGGTCAGTCAGTCACCGCTAATGACGCGAGACCCCTCTTATGAATAGTTTCTAATGCAGCGATCTCCGTGAGAGCGGTCGTGGCAGCCATCGCATACGAGAAGAGCCGCATAAGGCAACGTTGCCATAGTGGTATTAACGAATGATGGAATGGAACGCAATGAGGCAAAAACGAAGAATTCATGAACGAAGTCGTCGCTGTCATCCGCAGCCACATTCCGGGTGGGGAGACCTCATCAGCGGCGTTGGCGGTGGACGCCCGGCACCGACCCGCTCTTGGTCTATAGTGGGCTCACAGCTAAAGAGGGCTATGGCGATCAGGGTATTGCTCTTTTATCAGAGGTGGGAATCTTTGCCGCTTCCCCCTAGCCCCAGGATCCTGATTGCGCACGCGGGAGGTCCAAGGCCACTTGGAGCAGTCATGTGAGAATTGCAGGAAAAAAACACAGAGGATACATGGAACGAATGATTTATTATTATTCATTCTCCCACCGCGGTTGTTCAGCCTTCATGGAAATGTGCGTCGGGATTCAACTCTGGAATAAATCTTGGTCTCGACCTAGAACCAAAAAATTGCAGGACTCGAACCAATGAGCCCTCAATCCGACACCGTCAATGTTTCAATCTGGCCGTCTGTGATATCCAGACCGCTTGGTCAGAGCTCCTGGCTATTGGTGGGGTTTTCCGCTTCTCATGGACTGGGATGCCCTCTGGCAACTCTTTCGACGCTCGTTGGCTCTGCGAGCCGTTGAATCGGGCTCCGTGATCGATGCGGGAACAGAGTACAATATTCACGTAGCACCGCAGTAGTCACGTTTGGATGGTCGGCCGATACAGTTTGTGTGTACCTTCGACGTCCGTTCGTAGGACTGCATCCGGTCGGCGCAACGACCATGTTTGCAATGGACATGATGGCCGAAGAGCTCCTTCACATGTTACGTGAGCTCGCAATAGATGCTACAGTGAAGCTCCTTCCTCGTTTTTTCCCGCTATCTTCACCGGCTCTTACACAGCGTGGTACCATTATTTTATTTGCTCTCCTAATGCTGAGTTCGTGTTCGCTCAGTTCGGTCGGTCGCTCGCCCACCCGCCCGCACACCCGCTTACTTGCGTTTGCTAAAGCATTAACGGGTGTTATATTACCCCCTGAGGAGAAACCTCACATGATTGACCACTGGGAACGCGAGGTGAACACACAGAGAATCACGTGTTTATGACTGAATGAGGAATAATACCGCCTGCCTCTTCGGTCGATTCCTTAGACGAGAGCAACGGAAAGGCCGGTCGTATGGCTGTCTGGACCTGCCTGGGTCTAGAGTTTCCCCGGGACGATGGAAAATATTTCCAATGAGCATTCCAATCATTCAGGAGAGTCGGAACCAAATACCGACAGCGAATTCAGCAGAGGCGAACTTTGAATCCCTGCAGAATCCGGACTGCTCCTTCTTCAGAAGGAATGCGGGAAGCTTTTCTCGCTTCCATTGTCGTGTAGGTACCTTAGACGGGAGTGTGCGTGGAGGTGCTGATGTTTGTTCGGATGCGACAACTGAAATCCAATTTATATCCCGGTAAGGGGACCGAGTCCCTCGGAATCCCACGAGCGGTTCACTTTCTTCGCAGGACTGTTGCGAAATGATTGCTGTCGCGAGGCAACAAAGTTTTCCTTGTCGAGTACTCACTGTAGCCGAAGCTCTTTTCTTTGCACAAGTTCCAAGCATCTCTCTATCTATCCATCTATCTCTTTCTCTCTGTCTGTCGCGCCCAGCGTCAATCTACTTTATCTCTATCGCTCAAGCCTCTCCGGTTTTGTCGGGATGGCGGATCCCGCACTTGCGACTTCTATAGCAGCTGGAGCGAAAGGGATATCTCTTAATTAGGTTACGATGATACACAGCAGGCCTCTTGGCCATCGATGGCCTCTCAAGCAAGGCCCCCGGAGTCCCTGCGTACTTCCGCCCTGACTCCTCGATCGAGAGCCGTTTCGTCCGATCGCCCAATCGAAGCAAGTGTCCAGCATGTAATGGTAGCGATCGGACAATTGACTTATTTCAACGAGCTCTGAAATCCCCGCTCCTCGTTCTCGTTCTCTCATTTCCTACGAAGCCCGCACGGAGCTGACCGAGTTCCGTGCTCGTGGAACACCGGGGACCGGGCGCACCCTCTCTCGATGGGTCTCGCTCGGTCGGTGTCGGGATAAATGGAAATCTCCAGGGGCTCTCCTTGTGGCTAAACTATTTATATGCTCGGTTATGGAATTCCCTGGGTCCTGCCTCCTTGGCTAAATGTCCATCTCGGCTGGCAAGAAGTTCGGCCACCGAGCCTGCTCGTCTAATGTATCTTCTGCTCGGAATTCCCTTCCCTGATTTGACGGGATTGGCTGTGACAGCCCCGGCGGAGGCTGCAGCGGCGCTTACCAACGAAGCCAGTAGAAATGACTAGTCCTCTAATGATATCAGTCCATGCTCCCCGAATCGTCCGTCCCCTCTCCCACGCCGCTTGTTCTCTGTCAGCTTTTGATTGGGATTCATCCCACCCAGAGCAATCGTCCTGATCACTTCTTTTCGGTGTCTCCCCAGCAGCATCCGCGGGTCGCCGAGCGAAGCTCCGCACAGAACTGTTCCAAGGAAAATGACGACGAGGACGACGTTGACTCGAGGTGGGGAGTTGGTCCCGGCTGCCCGCAAGCTCGGGTCGGGGTGGCTTCCTTATCGGGACCGAGTGGGATTTTCCTCCTGACACATAGAGAGTGCTCATCATCTTCATGGCCGGGATGATCCGCTGGATAAATTTACATCCGCTTCCTCCTGCAAACGATGATTTGACGATGATGATGGCGCCGGCAGTGATCGCTATCATCACTTTCGCGGCCCCAGCTACCATTCATGTCTGTGGTTTTTATTGAGCTCCTCCGAGAAAGTACCGCTCGAGTCGCGGATGGAGAATAGAACAAAAACACCGAGTGACCCACAAGAAATTCCTCGAGTTCCATCTTCGAAAAAGCCGAACCGTGTTCCGCAGGCATTCGGAAAATCGACCCGTGCGTGGATTTGGACGAAATCCTACATCCCGTACGAACAACAGACTTTGTCCCACCGAAACAATCTTTTCCCTTGTTCCTCTTATTTTGGAGTTCGATACGGAGGCCGATGTCAGCGAGGCCTAAAAACCCATGCGTTATCCTCCTCGGCCTGTTTCTGACCTGCGGAGACATTGCGGCGCTTGGAAGCAGCCGGATGGAAGAAGAGGAGGGTTTCTGTTCGTCCCCGATTGGTGGCGGACCCGATGCTCCATCAACGTTACGGTTGATGCAGCCCAGCCACAGCCGATTCACATCGTGCTCAATCGTATTCTTCTTTTTTGTTTCAGGAAAATGATTCCTTCACGGACGGCAGCAACAGCTTCACCTCCAGCCGCCGCAGCAGCCGCAGCCATCCGGACTGAGTGACGATGCCCCGAAGAGAAGTTCTCTTCTTTGTCATTGTGTTTGTGTTCGTTTCGATCGACGACGCGACAGCAAACGTCACGAGTGCGCACGAGGCATGGGCGGCTCACGTAACCGAGAGCCCTGTGGCGGCGGTGACTCTCAATCACACTCACGTGCTTCACCTGCCCTTAACGCAGCCGCAGCAGCCGGCGCCGCTGCCACCGCTCTCGTCCACTCAAAATCCATCACCGGAACAAAATGGAAGCTCTTCGCAGCTGGCTAGCGAGCGAAAATCCTCCACGACGACAGATGTGACCCCGACAGTGACGCCGAAGACGACGACGGATTCTTCAATAAAAGCCAATAGGGGGATCAAGAACGTTGAACTCATCACTAGGAGACCGTCGGAGGAAAAGTTCAAAAGACGGAAAACCAAGGGGAGACCGATTACCACCACTTCGACGACCGAGAACCCTCAGAACGACTCTCCTCAACAGGAGTCTCAAACAACTTGGGCTCACCTTCCAGATAAGCATCAACAACGTCCATGGGCCATCGACGCTCAATGGGACGACTCGATTTCTCTCTGGGGCGTTCGCATCCAGCCACCACAAACACCCGATTTCAAAAGTGCCCGCAGCGAGTGGGGAAAATATTGGCCGATTCATATCTATTGTGCTGGTGGAGTGTTCGCTCTGCTCGCCGTCGTCAACTTGTGGCAACTGCTTTCGAAGTCGTTCTCCTCAACGGCTCTCCTAATGCCGAAGGGACGTTTCATATTTGTGACGTTCCTCATGCTGACGGCTTGTTCTTTCCGTGCGACGTTCCTGCTCATTGATCCCTACAACGTGAATCAGACGTATCGAGCTGAAATTCTACCAGCACTCATGGATCTGCCGTTGTTTTGTATAGCAATGAGTTTCGCTGTCGTCTTTATCACCTTGCTCGACATCTCGGGTGTGCGAATCGCCTCGAAGTTGTGCAGGAGCTCGAGTGCTCTCGCTCTCGTGTACTCCTTGTTCTTCATCGGGGGGACGGGTGTCCTCTCCGTCGCGGGATTAGTGCCGCCCCAGTGGAAGCTCATAGAAGTGCTGCCGACTCCAGGCTTCGTCGTATGGACTTCGTTGATGTGTGTGTGCTTTCTGAGTGTGTTTAAAAAAGTGCGGCGGGCCGCCGAGAGGAGACACGGTGAAAGTTTGAGGGCGACTTTCACCAAACTACATATCGAGGGTGCGGATATCCCACAGAGACTACCGCGACCGACGTTTTGCATCGCCGTACGGATAACCTTCATAAATGTCCTCTTGCTACTCGCCATGAACGGACTCACTCTCTACGGTATGATAGCCGTGCTAAATATTTTCTCGATCGGTAGACGACGCCCCGCAGCCGAGCCGTGGCCTTGGTGGAGCTATCAGCTGATTCTCCGTATGCTCGAAGCCACCGTTAGCGTTCTGATAAGCTACAGCTCGCTGCAATCGGAGAACGATCCACCCAGGGACGAGGGTTCGACATCGGAGCAGCACCCAACCACCGGTTGCTGCGTCCTGAGCACCTGCTGCCAGCGGAAGGACGTCGTCCACAATTACGAGTCCTGTTCTGATATTGCGTACGGTTTTCGGAACGAAAACTTTAATACGTCATTAGACTTCTCCAACGTGGCCGGTAGCGGCGCCAGCGGAGCCGCAACGAACCGAAGCCACAACGCGTGGAGTCGAGGCCAATCAACTGCCCCGCTGACGTTCCAACAACACGGTCGATCGGAAGAATCGAGCACGGCGAACAAATCCTTCGCGCGGAATTCGCTCCTTTCGCATCCGATCCAAGCGTTGAGCTCGCTCGGCTCGGGCCGGCAATCGAAGTTCGCGACGAATTCCAGCGTCGAAAGCAGCCAGAGACACTCGACGATCATGTTCCGGGACAAATTGAGGCGGAGCGCTCCTCCCCAACTCCCAGAAGCCGCTCAGCTGAACCAGGTGGCCAACGAGGACAACGAGGGCGACGACGAATCGATTCGTGCGCAAATGGGTTCAAGGGTTCACTCGATCACCGAAGAGGACGCCATGCTTCTGAATTCACCTTTCTTCCCTCGCTTCAAACGCAGCCATTGTTCCAGTCTCGATAATTCGATCGACGTCTCGAGCGACCAGCTCTCATCTCTCGGACAGAGCGGGGTCGACTTCATGCCGCAACACCACCGTCGAACGACGGCCGGCAGCACCTGCAGCAGCGAGTCTGCGGCCAATAGTTTCGATGTTGCGTTCTTCCTGAACTCGAATCCTCACCTGGACCACACGCAAGCTGTCGCCGCCCAGCGAGAATTCATGGAACGGCTCGTGCGCCACGAACAGGAACGACATTTGAAGAGGAGCAGCCAGCAGGAAGATCGCAGGAGGTTTTTCGAGGAGTACGATCGGATCCAGGAGGAGATCCGCCGAGAGAAAGCTTTAACGTCGAACCTCGAGCCGCGCAGCATATCTCCCATAGTTAGCGCGAGATCGTCCGCTCACAAGGCATCGGGCGTGGCTCGGACGCGGCTCGAGAGCACCCGTAGCGAAGAGATTCTAGAGCACCAGGAGCATCACACAAACCTGAAGAAGAGTCACCATTTGCAGCACCACGACCACAAACACCACCTGCAGCAGCAACAGGAATCAGCCCATCAGCAACATCAACACCCATCTGTGCACAAGATGAGCCTGGATCTGGCCCCGTCTGGCGTTGTGGGCACGCATCCAACTCAGAGTCGTGTTATCGGCAACACCGCGGACGAGGACATAACGCCAGACTCCGCCGTCTACCTCGACCTCCACATGTCACCTTGCGACGAAAGCCCCGCCGGCGACCTGCACATTATCCACAATTCGTTCCACAGTCTAAAGCGGGCGTCGCGCAGTTTCCTCAATCGCATCAATTCCACGTTTTCTCTATCGAACAAATCCTACGCGCCCCTTGAGAGCGCCGACGAGTGCATCACGTACTTCGGCGCCGATTGCGGAACTCTAGACAAGGGCCAACGACTCCGTGCGGCCAAATCCGCCGATGTTTTAGCTTCGGCGAACCACGAGGATTTCTGCAGCGGCAGTAGTTTACAGCACGGAGACAGTGGACTCTTGGTTGAAGAGAACTCTCAGAGGAGCTCCGTGCTCTGTGACAGCGCCTGCCAAACCGAACCTTTGTGCACGTAGAATGTGAGCGCCATCCCTGCCTCGTTCGAACCCATACGCACCAAGCGTCAACTGTCGGCGTTTTGAGTTCCGGAACCTCTCCTTCCCTTATCACCTGGCCTTCGACCACGCGCTCACCCACCAGCTTTGTCGGACACATAGGTAGGAAGCGAAGGAAAGAAGCCTCCGAGCAAAAAATCGTGCCTCTCGTGAAATCTAGTCGTTGGAGTCGGTAGGGCCAATCGAACTGAATGCGAATTTGTAAAATATTGTTGTTCGTTTTTACATGGAAGAATCTGTATAAATATCAAATGTAAACAAGTGAGACCCAGCGCTCAATAAGTGCGAGCTGCTCCCAAGGATCCGAGTGTGAATGAAGCTCTACTATTTTTCCCTAAGTAGGCCCGTAGAGAGGGAGAGACAGATACGAATAGAATAATGCCTAGAAAAACAATCCATTTCCGGTCGGGAACGCGATCAAATCACCTAGTGGAAATGACTTCTGTTGAGCTTTACCAAACTGCAAAGTGCACGATTCGGAGCCTCATATTCGGCTCGAAACTCTTCTCGGCACGTGCGAGAGCTCGGAGGGAAGGAATCTTCCCGCGAGGGAAGCGGCTTCTATATGAGGAGTTTCTCCGCGTTGCACAAGAGAAATTTCGAATCGGACCGATTCATTCGAAAAATTCTAGAAATCCCCAGAGATCGTCCCGAAATTCAATGACGAATAATTAAAGAAGGATGACGACACCGAAAAGATGGGGGGAATGTGCCAAACGCCAAGATTGCGCTTAACATTGTATGTACCATGAGAACGAGATGTAAATAAACAGAATGATATTCCATACTATGAGCGTATAGAATTCATCGACGGAAGAATTTATGCAGCGCTCCGTCTAGCTGGTTCAAAGCATTCCCGCAAGCTCCAACCGATCCCGCATCACCCCTTGGGAGCTCTCAGGTATGGCAGCAGTCTCGTAGGGCAGCAGCTTGACAGAAAAGTGTGCACTCAATTAGAAATTATTTGCACGAGGTTCAGAGAGCGAGTGGGTAAGCTCCAGTTGCCAGCTGCGAATGTTCTCAAGCAACATCGATCTTAGACAGGCTGCCCATCGAGGTGATGGCGAGACCGAACGGGCGGGCTTCTCACCTGCTACTCCATAAATTTCCGAGAGGACGAAGCGCGATGACAGAAATAGACGCGCTCCAAACGAGGTTCACTTCGAATCGGCTGATTTGACCCGCTCTAAAACTTCGGTGTCTAGCTGCGGGCTTCGTCAAGTCCGGGCAAGCGGCTCGAGAACCTATTCCGCTGAACTACAGGTTTCTAGAGATCTTTCGATTCCGTAAAGTATGATGCCACAAAACAAATCCATGCTCCCGTTGGAGAGAAATCATTGCCTTCACGATATCGCGCCTCGCCTCGAGCATCCTATTGATCCATCATCTTTGTTCATAGCGGAATTCTCGCGAGAGATAGTGGTACTCTCCGACATAGGACGCTTATCTCCAGGAGGCGGTGAATCGCGAAACTTCCCAATTCGATGAGCGACTCTTCATCTCGAACCCTCGCGTCACAATCGAAGGCGATAATAGAGAGGCAAATTTTATGCTTTTGTTCCGTCAGCGTCTCCGAGCTCCATCGGAACGCGAAAGTGTTGAAATGAACCTCTCTTCGAGGGACTCTCGTCGCATGGTAGGGGGTGGAGGAAGGGGGGGGGACGAGTCGGAGAGCTACTTGGTGGAGAAGCGAAGAACGAGGCGAAAAGAATCCTAAATTTGATTTAAATTCTCTGCTCAATTTGCAGTTGTAGAACTTTTCTTCTCCCGTTCCACCCGTACAGTGCCACAAGACGAAGGGATTCTCGGGACAAGGCGAAGGGATTCTCGGCTCAAAACCTCGTTCCGAATCCCCACCAAAAACCAATCTTTCGCTTTATATCCCCTTTCTCCCGCGCGAGTGGAAACTCAACAAGCTGCTTGTGAGCGCGATAAAGTCCACTTTTCCCCAGTGATCTTAGGCTCGGTCCTCCGCGGACGCCTACCCGTAGCTCTCACGAATCTTGCGAATGAGCCGCAGACTCGTGTATTTAGGCTCGGATGGAGGAAGTAGTGGTGGTGTTTTCAGGAGAACGTGCTCTCCATGCGGGATGTATCCGTGTTTGGTCAAATGAATGTTTTTGTCCTTCATTACAGCAAGTGATATATTGGCCTACCGGGCGTCACGGCGGCCACTGCCTCAAGCAGAAGTAAGTCAGACAGCATCTGAACGAGTCAGACAAAAAGAGACGCTTGCCTGCTGCATAATATACTCGGGATTACTCTGCTTAATGGAGTCATGACCACACGGTGTTGCGGGCTGGCGGCTCCATCACATCGAGATCGGGCATCAGATCGCAAAGGAGCGAACCAGCGATGTTTCCTTGTGCAGTGCTGCGACGAGAGCACATCCATGGCGTACGCATTCGATGATCACCCAACGCTTTCGTAGCAATGAAAGCGGCTAAGACTAGAACGCGGCTGTTGCTCGCTTATTCCATTTGAGACGGAATGCGACTCTGAAGAAGTCGATTATATCGACCCGGAATATAAAAAAAAACAAAGCTGGCGCCATACATTCCAAATCATAGATACCTTCCCTACAATAATTGAGACAGCATCCATGCTGAATCTGGGCTTCTGTCGAGGTTTCCGATATGAAAGACACATTTTTACGCATGGCGAGAGTCGACAGACGTTGCCCCAGTCGGTATGATTTCACGGTGCTCATTCCAGTCCCAATAGATTCGAGGGAAGGATCTGTTTTCCGGAGCGCGAGCTCGGTCGGTGGCCGAGGATCCCGTACCTTCACTTCGGTTAAAGACCTGAGAAGCCGCTCGTAACGTCGCCGGAACGACTCGTCGGAAGCGTCTTTCTCGGAGAGTCACGAGAGGCTCTCTCAGTCTCGCCCGACACGGAGACCGCCATCGAGCGGGCTGTCCATGTGGGCGAGCGCGCTTGCTCCAGCGAACGCCCCCCAGTGCCGTGCCAGATGAATCCTCATAATCAGCGATGTAACGCTGTTTCGTTGGGCAGAATAGCCGTGCATCATGTTTTTGATTTTATTCGTGCTCGCTCTCCTCGTTCCTATCTATGGTTTGTGATGGTCCTTGGACATGTTCATCGGCGGGTTCCTCTGCGTGGGGATCGGGTCGGATTTTGATATTTTCCAAACATCTCTCAGATTTCCAGTCGACGACGGTCTCCCCATCCACATCGTCAACGACCAAACGGACGAGATCAACGGCGAAACCAACGAAACCGCCTTACAACTACTACTCGCGTATCTATAAACGTATCTACAATGAAAACATCAACAGTGCCTACTCCATCCCGGTTGGATGGACCGAGGATAAAGTCAAAGTCAACGTGACCTTCACGGTGCTTTCTATTTCCCCGATGGCGTCAAATCCGTCCCTCCTGGAAGTGCAGGTTAAGGTTGAGGAGGTAAGCATGTCGCGAGGTCAACTCGGACAAAAATTCCCGAACGTCAGAGTTCCCGAGAAACTTTCAAGAGTTTTCGTCGCTCTAGAAGTTTTCCGCGGATACTTCTTCGCGGTATCGATGTCCACAGGTACAGTGATGCATGCAGGTCAATGACGCTCAACCTATTGTGACATACATTCGGATAATATGAAGGTTCGGCCATCAGGAATGGTACAACATGAATCTCATCTGGGCGGAGAGCGCCTACGGAAACATAAGGGAAGTGGTCACAAACCTGAACATTTGGCTTCCGTCGATGTCCTTCCAATATGAACGCACGTAAGGCTTCTTCCTTGGGGGGATAGCGAAGCTTTCAGTCCATGCTCCGCGGGCAGCGGATGATCGCGAGCACTGCTCACATGCTGTGGAAGTTCTAGCTCAGACGGGCCTCTCTCAATTTCAAGGAAATTCCCGACCACAAATCCTCAAACAGGCCGAAGCTCGTATGCCTCATCCGTGAATTCAAACGGCATTTGCCGAACTTCGTTCAAAGCCGATATGATCGCCATATGCGAAGATTCCGAGGGTTCGACATTCTCCGTTTGCACCATATACGTCCGTTACGTCGGATATCCCGACGCCAAAGTGGTCTTCGACAAGGTTAGACTCAGATGGCAGTTGTTGATTATCTTATTCGTATGTTCGACTATCGTGGATCGTGACGTCCATCATACCGACCGCTGAAACTTCAATATCGGAGAGCTCTAGATAGGATTTGGACAGACAGAAATGTTTCTGGAGCTTCTGTGCCATCGTCAATCGATCCCGCATCAAATTTGGTATCAAGAATCTAATTGCCCTAAGCTAACCGCAGGTTTCGCCGATCGTTCATCCGAACATGAGCAAAGGCAAATACAGAGTCAATTCTATTCGCTCAATGCGACGCTTCGTGCCGAAACTGGATAAGACCATGACTTATTCGGACGAGGTGAACTTGGTGCTCATCGTAGAAGAGAATCAAGTGCTTGCTTTCAGCGAAGCGACCTGGCCCATGGTGAGCGCCAATCGAATTCTGAACAAGTCGAATAATTGGATAAAGAATCTTCCTCATTTTATGGGAGCTGCTCAATTTATGATCCGGTCCGCGGCACTGATTCCAAAAATCTTGATCTGAATAATTCTAGTTCTGCATCGTTGTGTCCATGATCGCCTTATGCTGGAGAGAAGGGACAGCGTACGAGCTCTTCTCTCTGCGCACGGCTTTCACGATATTCTGCGGTATCGCGTGCATGCTCAGCGTGGATCAGAAGCTTCATCCGAGGATTGCGAACAGTAAGCTCGAGGAAAAGCTCATCGGGAAAAAGGATGAATAATACCGGGTGACAAGCTGAGAGCTCCTCGTTACAGAACCCTACCTGGTGTGGATCGTCGGATTCCATTTGCTCATGAGTTTCTTCGTCTTCGTGGAGAGGTTCTATCCAGCGCTACAAAACAGATTCGGTCTGCCGGACACGAAGAACATTCCGCTACCAGCTTACGCAGCACGACTCCTGACC